TTGCCCTTCTCTTACACTCTCCTGTCAACTACAGCCGTGGGTTTACTGACAGGTCTGTCTTTCCCATCACCATACCTGGGCACCTGGACTCAGCTGGAGAAGCATCACCGCTTTGGCAGACTGGCGCCATCTCACTGGGTGTTGCCCAGCTCCGCTGCCTTCTCGTTGGACAGCGAACGCTGGGAGCCTGCCCGGCTCCCCGTTTCTGAAATAATTGCTTTAAACTCCTCTGTTCAAGCTTCCAATCCTCCTCAGTCCTTTTTTCCTTATAATTTTGCTTTCTGATGTATACTTCAGAAGTCATAACATAATAGAACTAACTCAACTGTCTTAGCTAATTTCACTGGGTTTTTTTTTTTTTCTACCACTTTTCATTGGTTTGGCACATTTTTAAAATAACTTGTCTCTTATTTTCCTATGAGCTATTACTGTCTTTCTAAACTGTTAGGAAATATTTCTAATTTAATAAACTCTGTTTACTTTATTAATAATCAAGCTGGGTAAGCCATTAATTTTCATCTGAGTATGGCTTTGACTACATTCCAAAGATTGTATGCATTGACTTTTTCATTATTTTAAAAATATTTTCTTATTATGCGGCAAATTTTTTTTTTCCTTCTCCCAGTTGTTATTACAAGCGTGTTTCCAAAACTCCAGGGTGTTTCTTCGTGTGCGTACTGCACTGTACTCACTGAGTGCATGCCGTCATGTTCTTGCTGAAGTTACCGGCAGCCTCTTAACCGCTCGCTCCCATCGGACTCTTCCCAGGCTTCCTCCTAACTTTTCTAGGACGAGTGGCGTTCCTGTGTCCTCCCTGCTTGTAAAGTGGGCCTCCTTGTCCCCATCTTCTGCCGGCACGTTGTCTGCTTTTAAGTATTGGCACCATTTCTCCCGGGCTGTGTCCCAGGCTAGCTTCTCTTCCCGTTCTGCGGCTGTCCTCAGAGCAGACTTATCTACCCCTGCTGTCCTGCCTCATTCTTCTTTGTCAGGGATTTTCAGGTTTATTACCAGCTTGGACCTTCTCACCGGAGATCCAAAGCCACGTTTCTGGTAGCCTGCTGGACATATCTGCCTTGTTGTCCCAGCATTGCCTTTAAAAAAACCTTGTAGAACCTTTTGTTGTTATCTGTTAATACCAAACACTCGCTTCCTCTTTTCCCCAGGGCACTGCTTTAGTTTGATCCGCTGTGGTATTTGTTTGTCCTGGCTGTGTGTATTTATCTAAATATATTTCCTTTCCCAATCTCTTTTCTCACACATTGAACCTTCTCTGATTTTTCTTTATTATGGTAAATTACCAGCACTTCAAATTATTAATAATAATAATTATAATAATTTAGAGAGCGAGGCTTCCCTGGTGGCTTAGTGATAAAGAATCTACCTGCCAACGCAGGAGACACGGGTTCCAACCCTGATCCAGGAAGATCCCACATGTCACAGGGTGACTGAGCCTGTGCTCTAGAGCCTGGGAGCCTGGTTTCTGCAACCAGAGAGGAGCTCACACAGTAACGAAGACCCAGCACAGCCAAAAATAAATTAAAAATTATTTAAAGCATTTAGAAAGCATAAACTCCAGTAATCAAAAGTAATTTGGAGCATGCTCTCTCTTTATATTTTTTCTGTATTTAACATAATTGAGATCATCCTGAGTATAGACTTAATATCTTTCATTTCAGAAAACTTAACATCAGAGGGTAAAGTTAGATTCCATATTCAGCAGCTTCCACCAAAATTAATTCCAAAAAGATCAAAGAGTTAAACATAAAAAGATAGGCCCAAAAATTTCTCAGGAGTCCATGGGTGAGTATTTGTTGTGATCTCACAGTAGAGAAGACTTGTACATATGATGTTTAACCAGAAGTTGTAATATAAAAAGTGATACACTTGACGGAACGGAACACTTGTACGTGACAGAGCACACAAACGTAAAGTCAGATGGCAGACCAGGGAGGACTTCACGACTCATCCCAAAGGGGTAGCTTCCTCAGCACCATCTTGCAAATCAATCAGAAAGATCACTCAGTTAAGAAAAGGCAGAGAATATTAACAGAGACACAAATGGCTTTAAGCTTGTGAAAAACTGGTCGGCAGCACTAATAACAAGCAAAATGTAATGTAAAGTGAAATGAGAGACCGTCTTTCACCTGTCAGGTCGGCAGAGATCAGAAAGTTTGACTGCACACGTTGGCAGTGGTGCTGGAAGCAAGCATGTACACAGTTCTGGTGGGAGCGTGTGCTCGTCCTTCTGCAGAGAGAGCTTGGGCGATGTTTTATTAGAACCACATATACACATGGCTTTTGCTGTACCACTTCCATATCTGTGAGTTGACCGCATATACACACATGCACGTGATGCTACAGGAAAGAAAAATATTGATTGTAATAGCAAGATTGGAAACTAAGTACTCATTCGTTAGTAAGTGAAAGTCGCTCTGTCGTGTCCCGACTCGGCAACTCCATGGACCATACAGTCCATGGAATTCTCCAGGCCAAAATACTGGAATGGTTAACCTTTCCCTTCTCCAGGGGATCTTCCCAACCCAGGGAACAAACTCAGGTCTCCAGCATCGCAGGCGGATTCTTTACCAGCTGAGCCACCAGGGGTATGAGTGGCCCACTGATGGTGGGTCTCTGTGCTGTGGGTCAGCTCGTTTGTACTGATAGGAAGTGATTGCTCGGATGTATCTTAATTCAGGACTTAAAGGTGCAGAGTGTGTTTAGAGCTCCACTGTTGTGAAGAGGAATATACACATGGAGGGTTTACTACGAACCCAGGGTCTTCGGGAGACTTCACAGGAAGCTGCATCTAATGGAGCAGAGCATTGGGGGCCAGAGGGAGACTTCTATACCTGTGGCTTTGGTACCTGTGACTTTAAGGGTTTGGAAGCGTCTCTTTTAAAAGCTGCATGATGTCGTAATTTGTGTAGCCGCTTCTCTGTTGTTGAACATTTAATTAAGGTGGTTTCTATTTTTAATGTTTATAAACATTTCTGTAGTGAATATCTTTCTGTATCAACTTTGTTATTTCTGCAGGCTGCTTCTACAGGATCACTAAGAGTAGAATTAGTGGATAAAGGATTATGAACATTATTATAGATTATGATGCCCTTTTCCCCACAGGAAGTGTAGTTCATATCCCACCATCAAGGTGTACATGCCCTTAAAAAAAAAAATCTGCTGATTTGATGGACAGGAGATTCTGCCCTGTTTAAATGTATGCTTCTGTGATTACAGCTGAGGCTAAGGCCTCATATATTTATGTCACCCTTCTCTTAAGCTTAGCCACTCTAGGCTCCCTTGTGAATTCCTGGTGCACACCTCTCACTCATTGACTGTGGCCCTTCTCTCCTTCTACTCGATTTACTGAGGACGTTAATCTTTTGTCTTATTTGTTCCTAACTGGGTTAGGTCTTTAAGGACATGGAAGAGTTAGCCAAGAAATCAGGCTGGAGAAATAGCAGGCCAGCCGTCAGGAAACTCCGGGTCTTCCGGTGAGGCGGGAGTCAGTGGTTCCTCCTGGACGTGGTGCTTGACGGGGTGGGATCGAGGACCAGGGCCGCCCCGTCCGTGCTAATGCACTTGACCCTGTGGGAGCAGTGAACCAGCAGACGGGGCATTCACGGGCTTGCTTACCGCCTCCTCCCAAGTCTGAGAGCCCTTGGTCTCCAGAGGGGCTTTTTCTGATAGTAACTTTGCCTCCTCACTCCCTATGCTCCTCACTGATCAGTGTCCTCCTCCTCAAAATAGTGAAGCTCAGTTGTTCCACTTACACTCACTGCTTATGTCAATAGCTCTTTCCCTCATAATGCTCTCAACCACTTTTCCTAAGACTTGCTTGGCACTTGAACTATTTGTAGCAATACTTGAAGTACCGTTGGAAATGAGATGATCTTTCTACTCTTTGTGATGCCAGAGACAGTTTTTGGTTTTTTTTAATGCCTTGGCGAATGAATAGCAGCTTGGCTTATACCAAGTACAGCTGAAAATCACAGAGTCTGTTCAGCTGTTTGCAGAATCTAGTTCTACCACTTACTGGGCCATATTATTATCATTATTATTATTATTATTATTATTATTATTATTATTATTACCTCTGAGTTGTAGTGTGTGCTTGTTAAATCGGATAGTGCATATCCCATTCTGAGCACAGTCTCCTGTGCCTGGTCCATGGGCCATGCGTCATAGATGGACCCTCCATACAGTTTGGCAAGTGACTGGAAAACAGCTGTTTTCTTTGCGGACTTCTGAACATAGAAATCTGAGGTTGTACTTATCTATGTTGCATTCATTATTACCAGCTTAAACTTCTTTTTTTGTCCTTTCTGGAGGTATTTTTCTTCTGACCTTGGAGTTCAAGGTTTTATAAGTAAGTATCTTGACGTGGTCATCTGGTTATTAAATCTCCATGAACCCTCTCAATATATTGTTACCAGTTCTGAGACATTGTCTTCCACTATCACTGAAACTACCTACTCAGTCCAGTTTGTCCACGCTTACTGTTCATGGACTGTAAAGCATCTTGGCGTCATCTCCACTCTCAGCTGCGGCAGGATCCCAGTATGAACCACATGTGTTGCCATCCACAGGAGGAGGAAACAGAGGGTGGGGCGAGGTTGGAGTGCTGACCCCAGGGTGGCATCCGTCACTGTCTTGGTACCCACGTGCCTACATGTACGGCACCTGGCTGCACCTCAGTCCTGGCTTGTCTCTACACGTTGAGGGTCAGTTGTCCGTGTTAATGGAGGGAAGCCAGATGCAAACAGCTCTAAGGAGCATTGTCTGGAGCCCCATGTGACTTATCCAGATCACCTCCCTAAGCCTGTTTGTTCAGTCATCCCAGGAGAGGAATGGATGGGCCTGTGCCCAGAGCAGCGAGCAAAGGGGATTCTCCCAGGGGCCCAGCAGACAGCTGATTCCTAGGGAAACTCTTGTGAATTCATTTAAAAGCATTGTTTCAGACACACTGACACCTTTTCCTCTCTTTCCCTGCATTCATTTAGAACTTACGCCATCAGGAGGATAAGAGACGCCTTCAGAGAAAACAAGAATGTGAAGGATCCCGCAGAAATTCAAGCCCTGGTGAATAAAGCCAAAAGAGACCTGGGCATAATCCGTCGGCAGGTAAGATGGCCAAGGGCGTTAAGCTTTCACACGTCCCCCGTGATTGGATGTCACAGCTTTGGTGTTTTGTGAGTCACACCCAGGATCATGAGACTCTCTTCCTCTTGCTCATGTGGACAGAGATGAGCTGTCCTGTCACTCAGTCAAGGGGTGTGCGAAGGAAGTGCCAGCTGTCTGAATTCCCAGGGCACAGGTCCTCTGGAGAAGCTGGGTTCCCACCCTTTACTAGATGATGGTGCTTTAAGTATGGGAAACATTGTTAAAATTTCGTCTCTGTTAGATGCATTGCACATTCATATGTGTATGTATGTCAAAGAGCATAAATATATTCTACTTTTCCCAGTGTTTTAAGATCATAACTCCAGACGGTGCTGCCCTTTTCCTGGGGACGCCGTTGCTGGCGATGAGCCTGAGTTTTGTCGCCACGTGGCAGTGTGTCTGCAGGTGTGAAGCGTGGCTGCAAAGCGTGGCTGCGTTGCCCCGACCCCGCAAGGACCCGGCGAGGGTTTTGTTTGCTCTTTTGGAAGAGCCGGCCGTCGCCATGGCCTCTCGCTCTGCTCTTCTCGAGAGGTGGACGGGGCCCCTGCTGCAGCCTGGCCTCCGGGTGGGGCGACGTGTCCTTGTCTCTGCGGAGTTAATCAGGGCACCAAAGGCGGAGCGGCCTGCTGCCCGCTGGTTTTCCCACCCTCTGAAAAGTCCTCCTTTTCCGCTCTTTTTCTCTAATTCAGCACTGGCCACACCGTAAGCTCCGCTTTGCCTCCCCTTGTTTATCGCTTGTCCTCTCAGGGAGTTTGTTTAACTGCAGAAGGACACCCTTACATTTTCCCAAGACCCATGAGTGTGTTAGAGGGGCTCCTTCAGCGTCGTCAGGAGATCCCAGCGTGGCTGACATGATGTCATATCGTGACTTGTGACGTGTATCGGATATATATTTATATTTCTGGCCCTTCTTCACCCTTGACTCGAAACCATTCATAAAGGAAGCAGTACTAAAAGCTGGTTTTCATCTTATGTCAAAGTTAATAGTCTTGTTATGTTGCCTGCATCATAGAACAATCCCTTCTATAATAACCTTTCAGATTCTAACAGCTCTTTTGAGTTCTGCAGTTATCTAGGAGTAGAATAACTCAGCCATTTCTAAGAAATGATCTTTAACTAAAGGCATGAAGAGGTAATAGGATCGTCAGAAAAAGAAACTGGTCTGCAGATTTCCAAGGATGCCAATAGTGGCAGAGAAGTGAGTTGCCCTTTTGAAAACTCTAGAAGGATGGCCTGCGCCAGGCATCAGTGGGGGAGTTTGACAGGATCCTTTAGTACTTGAACTTGGGAAAACAAGCAGCCTGCATGTTTATTTTGCATAAATTCAGGAAGATGCAGTTTTTGGCATTTTCCCACACAGAGGTTGGCAAGTGCCTCCAAAACAGGCTGGTTTTCTCTTTTACTGTAAAGTTGCTCAGAGTAGGAGCTGCTGAGAAAAGGGACCTGTACATAATCTTGCCACCATTTCTTCTGTTATATAATTGTCTGTGTCACTTCTCAGTTTGAAATGTTTTATTTTTTTTAAAAAATGGATAGACTGGCTCTCACCAGACATGGCCAGTGAATCCGCACAAACCAGTTTCAAACCCTGGGCTGCGGGCCGGCCCTCCCCAGGACAGCCTGCCAGGCGCGCCTTTCTTGATGGGGGGGTGGGGCGTGCAGCCCGCTTCCGGGCACAGGGCTTCTGTGTTACCCGTCAGAGCAGCGGGGGCCTCCCTATTGCGTCAAGACTGTGCCGAATCCCAGCGTCACATTGACTGCAGCTACCTTACGAGATGGCCGAGACTCTCGGAGCTGCCTCATGCTGAGCTGGCCAGGCTGACCTTGGCCTTGAGGCCGTAAATCAAATGGCATCGGTCAGTCTCCACACTGCTGCTGTGATCACTGCGGCTCACCTCCCTCCCTGCCCGCTGCGGTCTGTTCCCCACAGGCTATAAGCTGAGCTTTCTAAAAGAAAGTCAGAGCAGGTGACATGCCTGCTCGAAACCCTCCGGGGGCTCCGTGGGCCGGCCCATCTCCCCCGCCACAGCATCCCAGTAACCCCCTTGCTGCCCCGAGCACCGCCCCCTCCCCCCGGCCTGACCCTCCTGGAGCCTCAGTCCACCTCGCGTGAAGCAGCCTCCCCAGACCGTCCGGAGCCGGGCTCCACTTGCCACGCCGGGCCTCACTCAGACGGCTTGAGTCACAGAGTCAGTCAGTGGGTGATAACGTGTGACACCCTCAGACAGCCGGCACGTCACAGTGCTTGCACGCTGGTCAGTCAGGAGGCCCAGCCCGGCTCCCTGTGGCGGCGGCTCTTCATTGTTTGGGGACTGAGTGAGTACACGACGTTTGTCGCCTGAGGCCGTGGCCCTCAGTCCAGGGTGTGTGCTGCCGGAAGCGTGCTGCCCTGAACCCGCGTGGGTCGAGCGGATGGTCCGTGGGAGGAGGGAGGGGATCCGGCGACCTGAGGCGTCTCCCTCAGCCGCAGTGACCCCCGTCACATCTGCCTCCACGGGCGCTCGCCCTCGGAGACCGTCCCCCGGGCTGCTCATCCGTCTCAGCAGCATTGCCCTGGGTGAGAGTCCGCGGCCATCTTTCCGGCCGCCAGGCACACACCTCTGTGAGGCAGCTCTCAGACCAAGAGCATCCTCTTGACGCGGCCCCTCCTCCTGCCCCCTGTCCTCGCAGAGGGTCTCGGCTGTGACGCTGTTGACGCCCCTGTCGCACAGTGAGATTCTGCAGTTTTTACAGAAGTCTCCGAGGAAAGATTTCTTCTGGTTGTCTAGGCACAGAGAATCCAAGGTGTGAGAAGGCTGGCTGCCCTGTCTCATGGGGCGCCCGGCCAGACATGCACTCAGGTCTCCGTTCCTGAGGGCAGACTCCAAAGTTTCAGGACGTGAGCTCCTGCGTCAGGAGAAATGTCAGGATAAAGATACTTTCAAGTCCTCTCCCAGTTTTGTTCCCCAGACATTTAAGGACTGAGTCGTCCTAGCCCATCCTGTCCTCAGAGACCTTGCCCATCATGTGCCAAGATGTTTAGTCTTCACATGGCCACCCCAGGGATTCCAGCAGCATCAGCAGCTCATACCGGCCTTCACCACGGCTCGAGGGGTGACTCTCACCGCAGAAAGCACGTGCAGGGCGCGTTCCCCTTGCACAAGCACGTCGGGCTCCTTTCCTCACTGTCCGTAACTGTGGCCCACGGATGGGAGCTGACCGGCCGCGCCTTCTTTGTTGTGGACCACCTCCCCCCCAACCCCAGGTATCTCTCTCCACCACCTCTCCCCCTAACCCCAGGCCCCCCTCTCCACCACCTCTCCCCTTAACCCCCAGGCCCCTCTCTCCCCACCACCTCCCCCGCTAACCCCAGGCTCCCCTCTCCACCATCTCCCCCCCTAACCCCAGGCCCCCCTCTGCACCACCTCCCCCCCAACCCCAGGCCCCCCTCTCCACCACCTCCCCCCTTAACGCCAGGGCCCCTCTCTCCCCACCACCTTTCCCCGCTAACCCCAGGCTCCCCTCCCCACCATCTCCCCCCTAACCCCAGGCTCCCCTCTCCACCATCTCCCCCCCAACCCCAGGCTCCCCTCTCCACCATCTCCCCCCCCAACCCCAGGCTCCCCTCTCTCCACCATCTCTCCCCCTAACACCAGGCTCCCCACTCTCTCCAGCTGCCTGCATCCTCTCGTGTCCCATAACGGCAGAGACATTTGCCCACTCCTATAAACTCTGTTTCCAGATAGAATGGTTCCGTAAAGACAGCTTGAGCCTGGCAGCTCATGTGAGTTCTTCCTCTGCTGAAAGCAGGTTCCGGACCAGCCCCAAACCTGGCTTCCCTGTCCACTTCCCAGGTGGGGTCAGAAAAGTGGGAGAGGCCCTTCGCGTGGGTGCCAGCAGCGCTGGGAGGGTGCGCGGACCAGCGGAGCGTGGGGCCCGGGCACGTGGCTCTCACAGTCTGGGCCGTGGAGAAGTGGTGGAGGACGTTCTGCCCGAGACATAACAGATCTGGGTGGTTCACGCCAGACAGAGAAGCAAGAGCGTCAACCAGACTCTGCTTTCATTTTTGTTCTTTTCTCCATTTTGCTGTTTTGACTAAATATTTGTTCTGATCCCTCTGTATAAGGCATTTATGAGACTGTCATCACCCCCAACTTAGAGCTCCGCCGTTTGTTACTCCCTTAGGATTGTAAGCAGCCTTCTTCTGTAAGGCTGTTGGCTGTACTCCGTAACCTGCAGGGAGGGCGGTGCCCAGCCTGGGTAGCTCACAGAGATGTTGAGAAATCACAGAGAAAGCATTTCCCCAGCATTCTGAAAGTTACCTCCCTGGCTTGATAGCCTTTGCCTGTGGGAGAAGCAGCAGCAGGAGCCCCTCCCGCCTCACCAGCTGAGCTGGCCCTGCACCCGTGTTTCTGTACTCGGACGAGATCTCCCTGAGCGTGCAAGCCACAATGATGGCTTCAGGAGGATCCAGCTGAATTTTAAGTGTGCAGCTCCTTTTTGTTCAAACCTGCTGAAAACTAACATGTCTGTGCCAGGTTTGGGGGTACGTCCAGCTGTGTGCTGTTCGTCAGCGGGTCCCCTGGGAAGGCGACCCTGACAGGTTCCCAGCCCCTCACGCGTGTAGGCCGGCGAATGAGCACTGGACTTAACCTCCACAGGATGTTTGCCCACTGCACCAGTGATGCGATACTCATGTACCCAGCTCAGCAGGGTTTGTGTAACTTAAGGGTTTAGATGGGGACGTACATTGTTAGCTGTAGGCTGTAGTTACACCCTGAGAAGGTCAGCTGGACATCGTGTCTTCTAATTCTGGATAACAAGATGTTGGAGTTATATCATTATTGTCAGCATTTTTTTAGTGATAATAAGATTCCATACCATGTCAGCGGTTCGTGTTCTTTAATGAAGCGGTTCAAATAGTGGCTGTATCGGACCCAGAGCTGTGACCCTGCCGTCGTACGTGATTCAGGGCGGACACC